GGTGGGAGGGGACTCTCGAGGAAATGATAGGGGCCTCTTCAACGATAGGAGTGGACTCTTGAGGGATGACAGGCGAGTCGGGCTTCTTCTTGCGGTGTCTTCGCACTATTGGGGTATACGGAGACTTAATAGCACGTGCACGCCGTCTGATGCGTGAACTCTGTCGTGCAAGAAAAACCCGACGTAAAGCATCCACCTTATCGGTCCGCTAAATAATTAAATACAAATATCAGTAAATAAACAGACATGATATTTAAACAGTGAAAACAAAGACAAATATATTTCAAACTTTCAACCAAAAGACAAAACAAAGACAAATACTAACTTCACAGTGTTAAAGAATACACAGTTTAGCAGAATTGGCAGCAACCGAATAAATTTACTTCAACCAAAAGACAAAACAAAAAGACAAATACTAACTTCACAGTGTTAATAAACAATTTAGCAGTATTGGCAGCAACCGAATAAATTTACTAAGCAATCTAAGTGAAATGGTTAATTTAAGTGAAATTACGAGTAAATTTATCATCAAGTTAAATATGGAAAATCTTAAACTTACCTCGTTGTGTAGAGTATGAACCTCATTCTGCAACGATACTACCATCTGACGTAGAGCGGTAACCTCACCACGTAAAGTAGACACCTCCACACGCCATGCACCATCGTTATCGCGTAGAGTACCGATCTCCTCACGCAAGGCATTGACCTCATCACGTAACTCCCTTGACTCATCCCGTGGAGGTGGAGAACAGGGAGATAGAAGTCGTGGCATCTTTGCCGGTCGCCTATCATGAGGTGATGGTGGAGAAGAGGCTCGATGATGTGACGGGATAGGTGATGGCTCTCGTTGTAGAGGTGTATAGTCGGGTCGATCAGGTGATGGCTCTAGGTGAGGTGATGGCTCTCGAAGTGGAGTAAGTGGAGGCTGCTCATCATTCGTGCCATCAAGAAAACGCTGACTAACTTGCCACCAATCAGTGGCAAGCTCAGCCTCCGTGGGTGTCAGTCTCATTAATGGAATGTTGGCCTCCTAAAAATATAAAAACTCAAACAAAGTTAAACGTCTACTATTAATAACTTGTTATATATGATAGTATTTGTGTTAACTTACATTATTTATTGTCGCATATGGTATTAAGTCTTCCCAATCCAACAGACATTTCCTCTTCCAGGAAATAGCCCTGGGAATATCATTTGAAGTTTTTATTGCATACGTCTTCATGGCGGGAAAGGCCTCGAATATCCAAATCTACAAACAATATAATAACAAACATTAGTAATTGTTAAATAATTAATTATAATTTTGAAAACATTATATAGAAATTCTTACCTTAAAGGCCCAAACAAAGCATGACAAAGTGTATTTCGACCCATCGCCCCGCAAACTTTTGCGGTCATCAAAGGCAGACGACAACTTAGTCCAGGTAGCTTTCCCATATACGAACCCCACGGAAACAGATTCCATGCATTTAGGTCCTTACCAATAATATTAGCTCCTGAGGAATAGGTGTCTGGCTTCTCTGCCTAAAAAGCCGGCATACAAAAGTAGTTGAAGGCATACTCGGACAACATCGACGTCATTCATCCGAGTAAAATCATCTTTCTTATTAAACAATTTCTTCATGTCGTCGACGTGTAAGTTCGGCTTCTCTATTGACTCATCAGGAAAAACCCTGGATAACCATGATGGGCGGGTGATATGACGAGTGTACCGGCCTACATCATCGTGTCCGAATTGTAGACCAGTGATTAAGCAGAACTCCTTCCGCCCAAAACAAGTATACGCCGGTGGAAAATAAAACCATATCTCTTCCTCACCACGTTGTATACTGTCGGGTAGATCGCTAGTCATGGTCTGAAGCCACAAATGGGTCAATTAGCATCTCCACCCGGATGTTGTACTCTCAGCCATGGCCCGAAGCAGGTTTCCTCAAACAATTTCTTTGTGCAGGTGAAAGCTTCGAAGCAATTGTAGTGGCTAGGCTAACTTTATTCCTTAATGTCAATGAAGCCGAAAAAAATTTCTACAAAAACAATAAACATACCAAGTTAGATATACCAAAAACTACACTGTCAAGATATACCAAAAACAATAAATATAAATATTAGTTTATTCTTGAAACTAAAATTTGCAACACTGTTTTGTCTTTTGGTTGAAATGAAAATCGCAACGAGATAATGAGAATCGCAACGCGGAAATGACTATCGCAACGAGAGAATCGCAACGCGAAATGAAAATCGCAACGAGAGAATCGCACGCGAAATGAAAATCGCAATGCGATTTTGGTTTCGCGTTACGATTCTCTCGTTGCGATAGTTATTTCCGCGTTGCGATTTTCATTCTCGAAACTATTCTTCTTCTGCATTACTTCAACCAAAAGACAAAACAAAGACAAATACTAACTTCACAGGCTAAACAGTTTAGCAGTATTGGCAGCAATCGAATGAATTTAATAAGAAATCTAAGTGAAATGGTAATCTATTATTGAAATTACCAGTAAACTTATCATCAATCTCAATATGAAAACCTAAAATAATGCAAAAATTTCAAAATAAAAATAAAACAAAACTACCCTCGGAGGTTGATTTTCCATTTCTGAATGATTGTGAGGGATTTTTGACTGTGAATGGTTGTGAGGGATTTCGCCGGCGATGGGGACGGAAATCTTCGGAGATGGGGACGGATTTCGCCGTAGAGAGTGAGAGATGGAGATGGGACTGAGTGTTGTGATTTTAGTTTGAGGTTATGAGTTGCGATTACTGTGGACGGTTCAGTTTTCGATTTATTAAGAAAAAATTCGTGTTTGGAATTTGAAAAAAAAATACGCGTTAATACGAATGGCGCTATGTAAATCGCAATGCGAATTAGGAAAATTGCATTGCGATAGTCAGTATCGCATTGCGATTTACTTATTCGCATTGCGAATTGGGAAAATCGCAACGCGAAATTGGAAAATCGCATTGCGATAGTCATAATCGCGTTGCGAATCTGGAAACTGATTTGCGATAATGGAGATCGCGTTGCGAATTAGCGATCGCATTGCGATTTTGTTGGTCATTTTGGTAAATCCGGAAAAAGTTGGTTAAAATCGTATATTATATGAGATTTTTGGTCACTGATATTATTTTCTCTTTTAAAAATACATAAAAGAATCTTTTTTTATAGGTAAAACGTACTTTGATATCTTAGCTATCAATAGCGTCGGTTACAAGAATATTCAAAATGATAAACATAAAAACATTAAGAGACTGAGCGACGAATAGCATTGAAAGAAATACGACAATAGCCTGAAGTACATCAAGAATCTTAATATATTTAAACTTAAAATATTCAGGATCAAAACTGTTCATGTGATAAAAAGTCAATGATCTAAATTTGCTATACCTTATGTAAATTGTATTATCTTTGTGTTAATTAAATTGGGATGATTTGACATTTAAAATGTATAATAAAAATTAATAAAATATTAGGAATAAATTCATCAAATGATTTTAATAATAGAAAAAAGTGTTATTTTTTAAAGATTTTAAATTTAAACAATTATATTTACAATAATATATATATATATATTATAAATAATTAAGAAAGATTCATATTTAAAAATTTAAAGTATAAGAGACAGATCTGTCACTATTCCATTCGCGAAAACTATTTAATTTGAACTGCAGGGCCTTAAAGTAAAAAAATTGTATAAATCTTAATAAGATACCTATGGAGGACCCAAGATTCTATGTACCGAGCGGCGGAGCCACGACTTGGTGACACGTGTTAATTTTAAAATTTTAATTTTTTTATTAGTTATTTATTTTATTGGTAGTGTCTGTCTTGAAATTTTTCGTGTCCACTTTGAAATTTGAATTTTCTTCTATTAGTTACTTATTCTATTGACGGTTCCCGCCCTGAAATTTTATTTATACATATCTTATTTGAAAATTTTATGTTGTTAATATATATGTATCCACACTGAAAAATATTTTTAGATCCACCATTACATGCACCACATTTCTACAAGAATCTTTTTCTTTATTTATATTCATATCAAAGAATCTTTAACTAATTAATATTGATTTTTATTCACTCGTTTCTTTCTAAATTGGTAATAATGTAACGCACAAATGATTCTTCCCATTCCATCATAAAATATGGGTTTCTTGTCGGATGCTATTGACCAACCGACGCCTTCTCTCGACAACATCATTTTACTTTAAATAAAACACCACATGATAACGACGCCTCAATTGTCATTAATAATAATAACTCTTGTAGTAGTGCCTTAATTACTACATTGCAATTTTCATTAATTTATAAGAAACCCAAATATTATCTATTAAAATACCTAAAATAAAATTCAATAGTGATAGTCCTTATTAGGATGTTAAATGAAAGTTATTTGAATCTGATTTAGTTAAAGTTTGATCAATATTTAAATTTAATGGATTCAATTCGAGTTTGAATTCTTAACAAACTGAAATTAATTACTTGATATTTGACTGAAAAAATAATATATTAAAATTTTAATTTTTCAATTGAATTGTTAATAATATTAACATTTATATTTGTTGTTTTTTCAAATGCAATATACTGTTTTTACGTGCTTAAAGTTTAAGTTCGAGTTCGAGTTTGAATTTTAATTGAGTTAAAAATGATAATGTTTCGAGTTTAAGTCTTTGGAGCTCAATCGAGCTTTAATTTTATTTAAAATTTGAATCGAACTTGATAATTTTAAACTCGTGAATTTTCGTATTGAATTAAACTGAATTTTAAATTTCTCAAATCGAACTCAGTGATACCCAATTTCGACTATTTGGTGGTGGTTGGTTATATAACAAAATATTAGGCAATATATCTCGATGGAAGAGGCCCATGGTTAGTTAAAGCTGTGAAACAGAAGCAACAAACACACAATAATCATTACTAATCTTCCCTAAATCAGAATGCCATCATATAAATATGTCTTTATTTTATACTTATTATTTCTCAGCTTTTCTTTCTTCTACGTTAACCGCTAGTTTCTTTATTTAACGGTTTCGTAAGCTTCCTTGTCGGTCCCCAAATTTTCAAAGTGTTCATCATGGAGAAACCAACACCTCCGTCTTCCAATCTAAACGCCACTTCCGTCACGGTGGAGAACCGAAACTATGTATCGGTGGCATCTCCACCTCGATATTATCACGATCAAGATCTAACCACCACCGATTTCTCCTCGATATATAACTTCATTTTCTTACCCAGTTCTACTCTCTCGCAGTCCCTTTCCGTCACCCCTTCCTCTTGCTCTTCCTCCGATAACCTCAAGCATTCGTCCTATAATGCAGCCACCGAGCACCGCCTCAACCACGCTCGTCTCATCCTCGAATATCAGCAACTGAGTGACCACTTCGACATTTTCTTTTCTCGCCTACAGGTACTCATGGGAGAGCTTGAAACGCTGCGTAAAGAGAACAGAGATCTTCGGCTGGCCAACACTAAGTTGATCAGGCTCCTGTCCCTCTCGTCCCAAACAACTGCCGTGAGTAATAGAAATAACCAATGCGAAAAACTACCGGATCTGAACGACAAAATATGGGAGAGGGGGCGGAAGAAATCAGTGCCCAAGACCGTTTCATTCGAGTCACCTAAATATCATAGGGTCAACCAACAGCAAAGAGTCGCCACTCCTATGGTGACGGTGAGTCTCCCCTGTACTTTTTTAGGATTAATTGGTTCAAATAATTGGATAACAAGTCGTTAATTTGCATGAGATATAAATCTTTTAAATTTCGAAATGCATGCAGCAGAGAATTCGTGTAGCGTCATTTGAAAGAAGAGAAGAGAAGGGCAATCAAGGAATGGTGAAGACGGAGCTCTGCAACAAATGGCAAGAGAGAGGGTCATGCCCTTACGGCGACCATTGCCAGTTTTCCCATGGTATTGCCGAGCTACGTCCGGTAATTAGGCATCCGAGGTACAAGACCCAGGTTTGCCGGGTGGTTCTTGCCGGTGAGGCCTGTCCGTACGGCCACAGGTGCCACTTCCGCCATTCCCTTACGGAACAAGAGCAACTATTACTTTCGCCCTAATTCTTACTTCTCATCTATAAAATTAATGTAAATATCTTAATTCGGGAATTTCATAGCATGGAAATAAGTCTCCCATGTCGTAATTATAATACCGTAATATTTGGTGATCAATGGGGTCATATACCTAATTTATGAGTATTATAAAGGTTTTATAAAGAAAATATGATTTAATTGTATAAAGTATGACTTTTATTTTAAATTTGTTCATAAACTTTTAAATATTTTAATTTCATCCTTAAATTATACAAAATCATTTTAAATTAGTCCTCAAATTTTAAATATTTCAATTTTATCCGTAAACTATGACAATAATTTTACATTGGTCCCAAACTTTTTTAACATTCCAATTTTATCCCAAATTATACATATACACTAATCACAACCCTTGTTAATAAAATCTTTAGGCGAAGTTATATTATTATATGTTTGAAAAAACAAAAATTAGGTTAAATGATTGAAACCAATTACATGTTGTATAAAATAGGCATGAAATTGGAATATTTAAAAGTTTAAGGATCAATTTAAAATGGGATTTATATATTGGGAATAAATGGTGCAATTTACTCAAAAAATTATATAAATATACAAGTATGATATAAAAATAGTTTTTAACATATTGTTTTTATTTTTTAACATAAACATGATATTTTATTTATTGAAGTTGTATCAACAAATGTCTTGTTAAATATAGACTGAATAAATACAGTCGTGACTATCGAAATAACATATAACAATGATTGCGTAGAGATAGCCTATAAACAAAACCATTAACAAGTGAATCAACAACGTACAAAAACTGAATACACGAACGGCTCCGAACATCAAACATGGAGGAGAGAAACTTGAAAAAAGCCAAAATGATCAATAAAAAAGCGATCTCCCCTTAACAGCAATCCCATCTGACACCTTTATGCGATCTCCCCTTTACATCATGTTGAAAACATTTTGATGTTTCGATATAACAAATTAAATTAAAAGAATTTTAATTTTGAAAAAGATTTTTCTAAGCATATTCGATATATTAAATCGAATATCAAAATATTACTCAAAGTATTTCAAAGTTCATTTTAAATCCTTACTCAAGTGTAAAATTAAGTTTTAATCTTAAAATAATTTCAAAACAAATTTTACAAAGTATTTTGAACCGTTTCAAAGCCAAAAATTACAGTTTGTCCAGAGGGAACCGATTCCTTCCCCAAGGGGGGTACCGATTCCCCCCCCAAGGGGGTACCGATTCCCCCCTGAATGGTTTGGCTCCGAGAAATTCCAGTATGCTCGGAGGGAACCGATTCCCCCCAGGGGTATCGATTCCCCCACTGTTCAACGGTCGAATATTTGAATTTTATACTTAGGGAACCGATTCCCCATGAGGGGGTACCGATTCCCCCTACGCTCCAAGCAGAAATATTAATTGTTTTCACACTTAAACAGCTCCAATAACTTCATTAATGATCCCCAACGTTCAAAAGTGATTCAAGGTGTATTTAAACAAGCTTAGAAGACATTGATCAATAACAAGAAACATCAAGCAACTAGAATCAAGAGAGAATCAAAGAGAAAGCATCAAACCTCAAGTTTGAGCATTTCAAGCCTATTTTTCATTCAATATTCATTTTTCTTTCAAGAAAACTGATTGTTCTCAATTATATTTATTCTTGAGTGTTCTTTCTTTGTTCTAGAATTGTGCAACCATCTTACCTTGTGAGGTTTTCTTGTAAGTTTGCGAAATTTGTAATTTTCTCTTTGAGAAAGAGTGTTCTAAAGAATTGGGGTATAATTCTTGAGGGTGTTGTAAGGTTATCTCTTTGGCCTCAAAAGAAATAACAAATTAGTTAATTTGTTGGAAAATCCTTAGTGTGGATAGCTAAGGTAGTGGACGTAGACTTTGTTGAGAAAGTCGAACCTCTGTAAATCGTTGTGCAATTACTTTCAATTTTCTGCAAAAGCTTCCACCAAAATTTTAATTGCCAATTCACCCCCCTCTTGGCCGATTCCATTGATCGATTAACTCAATAATTGGCATCAGAGACTAACTCATTTGAAGGTTTAATCGCCTCTTGAGTCGATTCAGGAAGAGTTACATCAATAATCAAAGTCATCAATGGCCTCTACTTCAAACTTCGACTCCGGTCTCGATTCGATGCCCGTCAACAAGCCTCCTTTCTTCAATGGGGATAACTATGCCTATTGGAAAAATATGATGATGTACTTCATTCAAGAAAGTGACATGGGAGCATGGAATGCAGTAGAAGAAGGATATATCAAGCCTCTCACTCATCCAAGATTGTGGAGTGGATGAGAGACAAGAATGTTCCAGCTCAACTCCAAAGCCATCCATATCATATTTTGTGCTCTTAGACCAGATGAATACGGAAGAGTTTCATCTTGTACAACCGCCAAAGAAATATGGGACAAACTTTAAGTCACTCATGAAGGTACCGATGAGGTAAATAAATCTAAAATTAGTATTCTAACGCATAGCTATGAAAATTTCAGGATGAAACCAAATGAAGATATCAAAGCTATGACGGATAGATTTTCAACGATTGTCAATGGTCTCAAATCATATAGAGAGATCATTTTAAATGAAAAGCTTGTGAGGAAGTTAGTCTACTCCCTTCCAAAATCGTGGCAATCAAAGAAGACGGCAATCATCGAGTCTAAGGACCTAACGTCCTTAACTCTTGAAGAACTAATTGGTTTCCTTCTCACTCATGAAATGATGCTTGAAGATGAAGTGGACCTCGATAAGATTGACGAGATACCAAAAAAGAAGAAGAAAAAATTAGAGTTTCTCTCAAATCCACAAAAGATGAGAATGATTCGAATGACGATGATGATGACGAGGAAATGGCATTATTTGCCAAACGATTCAGAAAGCTGATGATGCCCAACCGAGGAAGAAAATTCAAACGTCATGAAGGCTTCAAAACTGAATCGAATGAGAAAGACCTGATCATTTTCTATGAATGCAAAAAGCCGGGGCATGTCAAATATGATTGCCCATAATTGAAGAAAAAGGGCCAATCCAAAAAGAAGCACAAGGCTCATGTAGCTACATGGAGCGATGAAGAAGGTTTCGATGAAGAGGAACAAGAAGTTGCAAACTTGTGCTTGATGACTATCGGGGAAGATTCTAAGGTAACCTCTAACTCATTTGATTTGGATGAATTATCTTATGATAAGTTATTAGAGGATTATAATGGGTTGGCTTCGGATTATAAGACTCTATTTTCAAAAATACAAAAATGATATTTCAAAATTGAAAAACGAAAATAGTCTTATATCCAAGACCTACAATGAGCTTGAAAGTAAGATCAAAGAATTGCAAATCAAAATTAATGATTTTGAAAAGAAAAATACTGATTTGCATAACTTACTTTCAAAAGTTCATGATAATTATCAAAAGAAGATTGATGATCTTAAAACTTCTTTTAATAAGGTTAGAACAAAAAGTTTTGAAAAAGGTGAGAATTCAAAATCCAACTTTGTTAAGAAAAGTTTTAGAAGCTACAATCATAGAAGTCCTCAACGAACCTTGAATGGTAAAATTGTTAGGAGTATATGGGTTCCTAAAGAATTCATTACTACTAAAGATAAGGATGTCCTTCATAAATGGATACCAAAGGGGACAAGGATTTTAAAAACTAATGAATATGGACCCAAAAGAATTTGGGTACCAAAAATTAGAAATTAATCTATGTTTGTAGGAAAAAGAGCATTGCTACAAGGCACGGGAAACAAATCCAAATTCATGGTACCTTGATAGTGGATGCTTGAGACACATGATCGGAGACAAAAGCCGGTTCATAGAGCTTAACATCAAAAATGGAGGAGAAGTGACTTTTGGTGATAATTCAAAAGGTCATATTGAAGGTATTGGTACTATAGGTAATACCTCTTCCATACAAATTAAAAATGTGTTATATGTGAATGGATTAAAGCATAATCTATTGAGTTTAGTCAATTATACGATAAGGGATTCAATGTCATGTTTGAAATTAATGGTTATAAGTCATTTACATTGCATCTAATCGGGTTATGCTTGTTGGTCATAGAATAGGAAACATATATATGGTGCATTTAGATTCTATCAATATGACCAATTTATGCCTAGTTGCCAAGGATGAGCATGATAGTTGTTGGTTATGTCATAGGAGACTAGGACATGCTAGTATGAGTGTTTTGCAATGGTTAATTCAAGGAGAATTGGTTCGAGGGCTGCCTAAACTAAAATTTGATAATGATAAAATTTGTGATGTTTGTGCTAAAGGAAAACAAAAGCGAGTTTCTTTTAAATCCATTAATGATGTGTCAACTAGTAGAGTATTACAATTGATCCATATAGATCTTTTTAGGCCAACTAGGACTACTAGCTTGGGTGGAAAACAATATGCATTTGTCTTGGTAGATGACTATTCTAGATATACTTGGGTTCTATTCTCAAGTACTAAAGATGAAGCATTAGAAAATTTCATCACATTTTCAAAAGTAATCCAAAATGAAAAAGGTTACTCTATCACTAGTGTTAGAAGTGATCATGGCACTGAATTTGAAAATCTTGGATTTAATGAGTTTTGTAATTCTAATAGTATTAGCCATAATTTTTCAGCACCTAAAACCCCTTAACAAAATGGAGTTGTTGAGAGGAAAAATTGAACTTTAGAAGAAATGGCTAGAACCATGCTTTGTGAAAATAATTTGCCAAAATATTTTTGGGCGAAAGCCACAAATACCACTTGTTATGTTGTAAATCGAGTAATGATTAGGCCAATTTTAAAGAAAACTCCATATGAAATTTTCAAAAATAATAAGCCTAACATTAGCTATTTTCATCCTTTTGGATGTAAATGTTTTGTTTTAAACAACGTTAAAGAAAACCTTGGCAAATTTGATGCTAAAAGTGATGAAGGAATTTTTCTGGGTTATTCCTTAAATTCTAAAGCTTATCGAGTATTTAATAAAAGAACTTTAGTTGTAGAAGAGTCTATACATGTTATTTTCGATGATAATCTCCTTCTAAGGAAGGATTCTTATGTTAATGATGATGTAGGTATTATAAATACAAATGACGTTAGACA